TCTCTCAAACATATATATAAACATATATATATATATATACACACACACACACACACACACACACACATATATAAACATATACAAAACATATATATATATATATATATGAAACTATGTTCTTAAAGAATAGTGGGGAGGGGTGGTAGTGGTAGAGAGCCTAGTTAGATAGCTCAACAAGGATGACCTTTCAGGAAATGGTAATGAATCAGAAGGAGTCAGTTGTGCTGTGTTTCATGGGAGTTGGGGGAGGGAGGTGCCTGCAGAGTCCAGGGGAGAGGGAACAGCATGTGTAAAGTTTGTGTGGAATCCTATGATCAGTGTCCAGGAAACATTTGGGTGGATTCAACCAAAGGTATTTTCATTCTTTGTGCAGGGCACTGAGTTTAATGCCACATCTACAAACAGGATAAATACCTCCTTCACTGAGGTTTAAGACTTAATTGATCATTGTTGGGGAAAAAAACACTTTGGTAAAAGGTAAGATCTAAAATCTGTAAAGAGTGAGGAAGCTCCTGTCCTCTGCCCTCAAGCTCTTGATGGTCCCAGATAACATTCTCCTTTTCTGAGAATTTCCATGACAAGCAGTCTCTTTTAGTGTGCTGGTGACCTTTTATGGAGTGTAGGGACAGCTGGGGAAAGAAACACAGAGCTCCCCTGACAGTCCCTGGAGGAAGGGAAAGCCTTTTAACTTGTTCTAGGGCTTTGTTTATGTGTAAGGCTGAGAAAAGGCTACTTGTAAGCATGCCATCCAAAATAATAGAGGTAAGATGTCAACAATTCTGTCACTAGGGGCAGATATACCTTCTCAATTTAACACAATGATTGTAAATGTGGTTTGCCTTTGCTGGCAAAAGTTTGTTCACTCAGGAAATAAGAAGAGCAGAAAGATGAACAGGCAGCCTAGAGAAGGCCTGGGGAGAGTCTCTGCAGGAATGTGGACTCAACCATTTAAAGCTGAGATCCCAAGCAGACGGTGACCTCAGCGAGTGCCTGTGCTGATGGCACTTTCCCAGCCTTGCTGGCGTTCCAGCTGGCACTCGGTCTCCACCAGGAGATGGAGCATTTTGGGGCAGGGAGTAAGGCACCCAGGCTTATGGGGACTCCCAGGAAGTGAGGTCTAACCGACAGCCCCTGCTTTCAAGGAACTATCTGATTGGGAGACAGGATCTACATTGCCGACACATCTAGTAGTCATATGTACAGAGTCAACCCAAGGAGGTAAAGAGAGAGGTAAAATATGCTCCCTGTGAAGACCAGGAAAGGACAGTACAATGTAAATTGCCAGAGTTTTCCATGTCTCTAGTTTTTATATCTATTCACCATCCAAGCAACGTGCACTCAGCAGAGAAACTGACAAATGCAGACAGTGTAAGAAATCAGCTATTTTTGTTATTAAAGAATGTTTTGTAAATAGAGAAGTGACTTCTGAATTCAGAGAAATTTGTGCAGTCTTTCCCCCTTTCCCATTGGTGGGGAGAAATAATTTGCCTCATTAGAATCTCTGCCCCTTAGACAGGAGCCAGTCCCCAAACAGGCTGCCAGGTACACAGAAGGTCCTTGATGAATGTATTTAAAACTCAAAGTTCTGTGATTTAGGGATCTAAGATTTTCACTGTTTTTTTTTTTTTTTTTTTTTTAGAAATTTGAGTTAGAGTGCTTTGTAACTAGTCTCTCTTGCCAGTATTCTATATGAATATTAGACCTTAAGATATTCTTTTTTTGATATTCCTTATTTTACCAATACAATGTATTTCAAATATCAGTTTTCAGGTTGATATTGTGGTCTTTAGGCATATTTTTTCCTTGATGACACATTATAGTAGCAAGAACATGAACATTTGAGTCAGGTAAACATGAATTTGAATATCAGCCTTATACCCCTTATATCTGGAGTTTGAGGTGAGGCCCTAGATTCCCATTTTTGAGGCTTCACTCTGACCCTCTGACAGACACAGCCCTCCTCATAGAGAATTCTGAGTGGCCAAGAACACATGCCGACCTGAAACCACTGTCCCTGTGCTCTCAGAATTCTGGATTCCTTGCCTAGGCTACTGGGAACACACTGGGGCCAGAGATAAGCTGGCAGGATGGTCCAAACTTTCACAGAATGCAGCCTGAAGGGGATGGATGTAGGGTGGGAAGAAAGACAGGGTAGAGCACTGGGCTGGGGAACTATCATTTGTACTCTTATGTTGGGTCCTAAAAACGTCACGGGAGGGTCCTTTATATCTGACTCTCAGTCACATTGCTTGCAAACAACTTGACCTTTCTGAACCTCATTTACCTCCTTCAAAAATATGTGTAAGAATTTCTTCTTACAGATTTTAAGGGTCCAATTAGATTATTATATAAACATAATTGTATGAAACATAGTAAACCAAAAATTCCTCTCACTGTTATCAATCTTGGCTAGAGTTTCAGGCTAAACTGAAAATGTCTACTAAAGCTGCCATACAACTGAAATGCATTACTAATTACATTATTAGCACTAACAGCATTTCAGGTATATGGTCTCTTATCTGAAACCTTTGGGCCAGATGTTTCCCGAATTAATACCTTTTTTTGGATTGTAGAAATACGTATATAAACCATATATTGCATTACACTGGGAATATTTGAGGCAGGGCCATGTTATTAAATACATTGGCATTTTCATAGCAAAACCTGTTGATCACTATGTGATAAGTAAAAAGCATACATAGCCCCATGTTAATCCAGGTCAGTTGATTTTTTTTAATACATTTTTATATTTTGGAACAGTTTTAGACTTACAGAAAGATTGCAAAGATAGTACACAGTTCCCCTATGTTTTAAATATTGTTATCATCTTACTTTACTATGGCATATTTGCCATAATTAATGAGCCAAGACTGATACATTATTATTAACTAACGTTCATACTTGATTCATGTTTTCTTAATTTTTACCTAATATCCTTTTTCTGTTCCTCGAGTCCATGTAGGCCACTCCATTACATTTTGTTGTTATGTCGGATATTTTATAGACTATGCTTCAGTTGGGATTTGTCTGATGGTTTAAGATTAGACTGGGGTTATGGGTTTGACCACAGAGGGAGAGTGCCATTCTCATCACATCTGAAGGGTACATACTATTAGCATGACTTATCACTGTTAATGTTGACCTTGAGTACCTGGCTGTGGTATTTTTTGTCATATTTTCACACTATAAAGCTACACATTTTTCTTCTCTTTTCATTCTGTGTTTTTGGAAGGGAAGTCACTATGCATGACCTATACTTAAGGAGTGGGGGATTATGTTCCCTGTCCTAGAGGGTGGAGCATCTGAATTATTTAGTATTCTTCTGCATGGGAGTTTGATCTCTTCTTCTCCGTAGTTCAGATTTTGCTGCCAATGGGTTAAGGAATTTTTAAATTTTATTTTCATTTTTTAGTATTGTGGATAGGGATTATGGACAAGAACCAACATTCTATCTAAATTTAAAAAGTCTTACAACATGTGTGTACCCACTCTTGGTTACAGAAGAGATGAGTGATGTTTCCTTATAAAAGAATGATGGGGGGAGCCTAGGTGGCTCAGTTGGTTAAGCATCCAACTTCGGCTTACATCATGATCTTGGGGTTCCTGAGTTCAAGCCCTACTTCAGGCTCTGTGCTGACAGCTTAGAGCCTGGAGACGGCTTCACATTCTGTATCTCCCTCTCTCTCTGTCCTTCCCCCACTCGTGCAGGCTCTCTCTCTCTCAAAAAAATGAATAAACATTAAAAAAAAAATGAATGATAGGAACTAGTAGGAAGGGATAATGGTGGCCTGTTTCCCAGAGCAATGGATGGTCCCTGCCCATCACACATGAGAGGCTGTACAGTTTTTTTTTTTTTTTTTCAACGTTTATTTATTTTTGGGACAGAGAGAGACAGAGCATGAACGGGGGAGGGGCAGAAAGAGAGGAAGACACAGAATTGGAAACAGGCTCCAGGCTCTGAGCCATCAGCCCAGAGCCTGACGGGGGGCTCGAACTCACGGACCGCAAGATCGTGACCTGGCTGAAGTCGGACGCTTAACCGACTGCGCCACCCAGGCGCCCCGAGGCTGTACAGTTTTAAATAAGTAGTATGTTTGGTTGGTTCCATACCTTCATAACTAATTCAGCTTGAAGGGAAATAATGGGAAATATGGTCATGGCCAAGTTAAGAATATAAATTTTAAAAAAGAAGACAAATTTTCCCTTTCATGTTTTGTCAGACCTTTTTTCACATAAATTTTCATAAAAACTTGTGGGATTATTAGAGACTGGGAGAGGTGTGTATAGAAGGAAATCTCGGTGGCTCTTGCCTTGGGCATGCTGTGTCACTTCCCACAGTCAATGAGGGGCCCGGTCCACTCTCCTACATTCCTGCCTGCCTCATAGATGCCCCATACCTGCCCCCAGGCAGCTTTCTGTGACACATAGTCAGGTTAAATCCTCTTTCTCCTCAACTCTTCTCTCCCACCTTCCCCTCAACCTGGGTAAGACCCTCTTAGGACTTTTCTTGTTCAAACCTAAGTCCCCTGTGGCCTCTGTATGGCTTCAGAAACTTCTACCAGCAGTAACATTCAAAGTATCTGACACTCTATGACCTAGAGATGCAACTGGGCCTTGTGCCAGGCACAATCCCTCTGGGTGCAGAGTCCAGTGTGAGAGAAATCACTGAAGGATGTGTGAGGGGGTATGGAACCACAGCTATTTATCAACTCGAAGGGGAGTTTTTGATCTTTTAACATACAGGGAAAGTAAATATTATTAAATATATTTTGTATCATGTTGGTCATTGGAGCTTTCCAGAATTAAGCCCTAGCCTCCAGTTACTGATTACTGACATATTGCTTACACATTCTCAGGGTTGTCTTTCCAACTCGTGGAATCACTCACTGAAGCTCCAAGAAGGCATCCATTTAATTAGGGCAACCGTGTGACCAAATATTAACACGTTGCTGTTTGAACTTACCCCTGAAGCCTAATAGCCTATGTCATTATGGTCCTAGGACTAACTCATGAGATGATATGACGCCTGGGCAGCACCAGAATTGTTAGAAATGGACTGACAGAAATGTATCTGTAGTGACTCTTTTCCTACTTCAGCCTTCAAAGGAACACGGGTCAGGAAATTTATTTTCTATTGATTTCACTTGATCTCTCTCCAGCCTGTGATTTCATTGCCTATAATCACATTCATTTCTTTAGTATACTGTCTCTTCCACCTAATTTAGAGAAATGTGTGGATGTCTTGAAAATGGTACAAACTTCTGAAGAAAAAAAAATAGTTATATGTAATTTGGATGATGAATAAACTTCAAATAACTCTCTGAATTTGAGCTCCAATTAGGGAGAAATAATTAAGCATGTTGGCATTGAAGAAATAAAATATTTTAAACCACTCTCTGATCTTGGTTGTGTCTCTTTTTCAAAGTCCAAAAATTAAACATAATGATGGACTAGATAAAGAAGTTTATTATTCACCATCTCGTTATGCTACTTGATGAATTGACTGGAATTTCTCAGACACCTTCTTTTCAAAGGCCCCCCTGGGGGGCACAATCCCCTCAAACCTAGTTTCTGTGATATTTTTAAACTGCATGTCACTGGGTTTAGTTGCCAAAGCAAAGGCCTTAACTTGTTAAAATTCCTCTACCCATAAAAATTATTTGAATACTGTAAGTCTTACAATATATTTTATACTTTTACTAGTAAAATAATATGTGTGTTGTAAAACTGTTTACGCAGTTCATTTGGAAATTTTTTGTGTACTGCCTTGTGAAAAATCTTCTACTGTATCTTGAATTGTTTTTTGTTGATTTCATTAGATTATGTTCACACCCCCTCCTTCGAATGGTTTGAAAAAACTATTAAGTTCCAAAATTAAGACATATTATTTTCAATTTATAACAGAACATTTCATTTAACTGTTTCTTGGACCAGAAAGACCTGGAATCTTGTCTGGTTTTGCCCTATCTGTGTGATCAGCAGCAAGCCACTTAACTTCCACGGGTCGTGATTATCTCATCTGTAAAGGAAGGGCTTGGACTAGATAATGTCTAAGATTGCTCCAGCTTTATAATTTGGATGATAGTATTTGATCTGGCAAATCTCCCAGAAGGATATTCTCTGAGTTTGAGAAGGCTGTCCTAATTTGACCATGGATGTTTTGAATTTGGAAAAACTTCTTAGAAAACTCCCAAAAGACATACTCCCAAAAGCATACTCACTGGCTCTAGAGGCCTGATGTCCTAAACCGTCCTTCTGTTACACCACTCAGACAGCAGGTCGGGGTGCCACGGATGCCACACTCACAACATCATGGCAGCAGGGAGCTGGCTACACACAAGAAGCATGAAACTGCCAGCAAAAGCATTGTTCATAAAGAGAACTTCGGCTGAGAGCTGAGTTCAAAAATTTTCAGCCCAATACACGAGCAGTTGGCTTTCTCACTTTTCTTGGTTGTGTTATGTTAGCATTTTTTACTTTCTGAGCCTTTGTGTGCAAGCCATGGTGTTTACAGAAATAGATGCATAAAAAATACAAATCAAAATGTCATATCCTGTAAACATAATATAAGCTGATTATTTTAAATGTTTTCTTTACTCAAGCAGGTGGATTTAGGGCATGACAGCAATAATAACCATTCATCTAAAGAACAGATTTTGATCAAGGAAGTCTCCAATTGGTTCCATATATAATCTTTACTCTTAATTTTCCCAGGGCAAAAATTGCACAAAAGAAACAAACTGCAGCTCTTGAAATATAATACCAGTGGAAAAACAAACAAACAAGCAAAAACCAAATAAAATCTCGAGACAAAAACTGGCCTAACCATGACAACTAGGACTTAAATAAGATCTTGCCACACCTTTGCAGCCACCCATATCCAGTCTGTATCCTGGAAAGACTTATGACTAACCAAAGAGACGGGAGACCATGAAAAGAGTCAGTCATGGATTGGTAAGCACAGATTGATCCAGGGAAGACTTACAGTGAATTTTATTTCAATGCCTTTTATTGTTTTTTTATCATACAATCTGTGTCTGTCAGCAGCAGCCTTTGACTGCTTCTTTTGCCGATCTGAAATGCTCGGAGGATCCTTGTTCAACCTGTTTTTAATAACTGCATCTCTATGCCACCTTCACCATCATTTCATTTGCTCTCAGGACCAGAGGTCTTTACTCACATTATGTGTAAGGATCTATTATAATATGATTAAGGGGGATGGGCGGTAATTATACAGGAAATGAAAAATCAAGAACCTTATGTTTCTGTCCTGGGTAAGGACTGTAAATTACAGTTCTGCCACAGCGGCCTTCTCTCCCATAGGGTTACTGTTATGAGAACACTGGTGACAGCACATTTGACGATTTATGGTTTATATTTATCATATGAATGTGCAGTAAGCACTGACATCTGATATGTAAGCAGAAGTAGATGCTGCAGTTAATCACAGATTTCCTATGAAAGATTGATAAATGTGTATTTCATGAAAATGATTGTCAGCACTACTTTAAGTAGATAATGCTGCCCTTAGTGAGGAGAATGTAGAATAAATGGCAGTTGTTTTTATTTCATGCCACAGTCTGTGTGTTGAAAGTTAGGTTAATTACCCTGATTATATGATTAATGCTTAGATTTAGTAGCACTCATAATTTTGCATTTTGTGACCTTCAGTTGTTCAAGCCAGCTGTTTTGCTTGCCAGGTGTGCTCAAACTGGCCAAAGTCTAGGACCCAGCTAAAGTGTGATGTGGACTTACCTTTAGACTTAAAAAGAAAAAAATTAAATCATGAGATTCCACTGTGGTGAATATACTGTAATTTTTTAAAAATGCTAATGAAATCCCCACAACATGTTCAGAGCTAAACAGCAGAGAGGATGTGGACCATGCTTATTCTTTACAGTCTAGGTACTTGGGAGACCCTTTGCGTTAGCACCTTCTGCTGTGTGCCTTCCTCTCTCCCTACCTGGGGAGGCTGGTGTAGGTAGGGCTAACCTTACCTGTGGTGACAGTAGGTAGCCTTCTTTCTAATGCTACTTTCCTTCTATTAATTTGTCCTTATTAAACTCTTATCTACCAATTGCTTGGTAGGTAGACAGATAGATCGATAGATAGATGTATGTATAATTTACTCAAGTGATAAAATGTATTGAGTACATTTGTGTACAAGCTATGCAGAATATAGAAAAAGTAAATATATCATTCCTTTGCTCACAGAGATGTGTGGGAGATGAGACATAGTCATATATAAATATAATATAAGGTATAGAGTGTCAACTGCCATAAAAAGGAAAGAGCTGAAGTATTCTTTCCTATGGATTAAAATGAAGCTATATTCAGGGTACAACCTCATTTTGGCTCCAGTCTGGACAACTGATCTGGCTAGCCCATCATCTAGCAGAATCTAAAACAGTAGAACCCATGAGGAGTAAGATTTGCTGGAGGAAGCATTACAAGATAAGATCAGGAAGATGGTTGACTCACCGAGTTCTGTTTTGTTCTGTGCAATGGGGGCACAGAAGAGAACAGACAGACATAGTCTCCCACAGTCTGGAAGTAGTTTTAATGAGGAACATGATCAACCAGAAAGCAGAAGGAGGGTGTGTAGAGGAAATAGACAAAACAAACAAAGAAGCAAACAAATGGTACCTGGTTGCAGTCCTGTCTTGGGTTGGCCAAGAATGTGAATAAATGTTATATGCCTGGATCAAATATTTTCCATTTTTCTCTCTCTTTTTGCATTGAGTCTGTGAGTTAGGAAGAAGTACCAGGTGTTGTAGTGGGAAATAGATCCTGGAATGGTCCAGGACTGACATGAGGAAGGCTAAGGGAGCCTTGGTGAGACATGAAAATTGGGAATTCGGAGAAGGGATGTACACATGGTTTGGTACTGAAGTTACTGCCATTTAATGGTTATATTTATAAATATTTTGATTTTGAGAAGATTAGAAGTGGCTGAGGAGAAATGAAAGGCTCTGAGAGTGGTCAGGCAAGTGGGTGATAGGAGAGGAGAAAGTGTGAGTGGAAATCTGACAACTCAGCAGATTCCTCAGTCTTTTTTCCCACTAGGTAAAGAAACATTGTCTTTGGGTTGGTGGTAAGGGAAGACAGAAGAAATGGAGAAAAAAGGTAGAGCAGAAACCTGAGCCACAGCTGGATTGAGGGCCTGTTCACTGGTGAGAATGTGTGTGTGTGTGACAGGGGTGGGGGGGGGGGGGGGAGGGCAGAGATGGACTAAGTCTATATGGAAATATACTAAGAATGTTAAAGAGTCATATAATGTAAGAATCAGTTGTATGTATTGTTTCCATTTATGTTTCATGTCTTCCCTCCAGTCCTGCTTCCCTTCCTTCCTTCCATCCCCTTTCTTTTTCTTTTTTTAAGTACTGATTAGGGTATATAAGTTTTTCTTTTTCCCTTGCTAAGTAAATGCCCATCTACCCCGTGGTGTGCTGCCAAGGAAATAAATTCATGTGTATGTACATACATTTATTATAAAGTCTTCTGGTATATATAAAAGATTTGTTACAAATAACAAAGTATAAATATTCTTTATTGTAAATTTCATATTAATCAGTTGATTCTTATGGACTGCTTTTACTGATTTTTAGTATTCTAGTATTCTTAGTATTCTTAGCCAACCTATGGTTGCAACTGATGAAAGAACATAGTCTTGACATGAACATCACTTGTATTTTCATGTGAATTAACAGATAAAACAAGGATGACTCAGCGAAGACCTGCGTCAGAATTTCAGTTCATCTACGGCATGAATGGATGCTGAAGTAGCTAATAATTTTTGAATACTGTAAGAACATTTCCTGAAGCTTTTTGGGTTTTTTTGTTTGTTTTTAGTTACTCATAAAGATGACACCTTTTTGATTTAATCTACATTCTTCACATTTTCTCACTTTCATTATTCATTAACTTCTCATCACTTTCTTAAATCTAGAAAATTAACAAAACAATCAATCAAGCCCTGACTGGTAGCTTTTGTCAATTTCCATGGTATAAATACTTAAGCATGGTGTCAACGACATACGCAATTGGAGAGAAAAGTACAGGAGTACCCCATTACACAGTATTTTCTCCATTCAGATACAGTAGATGTAAATAACCCCAAGAGCAGGGATAACAATAAATGTAGTAAAATAATTAAGAAAATGATGATTTTTGAATTTTTTAAGATTTATTGTAATATATGTTTGAGAATTTATTATGTTTATTTTTAATGAATTTAGTTGTAAATTTCTATGATTTAGTTTTTAATAATGGCAGTGTTTCACAAATTACTTGAGAAATTCTTGAAAATTCAACAGTCAGCTCTCTTGGGCCAGAATGAGTCTCCTTTTGCACAGCAGTGGGTCTGTCCATCCTTCTAGCAGTGTGTCCTCCAGGTCATGTCTCAATTTCTGTGTCCTAGGACAGCTCTCTGGTTTGACAGCCTATTCAGGAGCCACCAAAGCAAATGACTTAAGTGTTCCATACAAATATCTTCTTTTAGAAGGGAAAGCTTCTGAGTTGTATTAAAATGATGGAATTTATAATTATTTTCATTTTCAAAAAGTTTTTTGAATACTTAACTGTAGATAGTTTAACTGTAGAGTAACATTGGCACACATGGGGTTGATTTAAATAGTGTAGACAAGAAGGTAGATCATGCAAGTCCCAAACTTTTTGTCCTCCTCCATGCATTCAGATTTCTAAGAAATTAATAAACCTAATTGCAGGTTTTGTATTAGTAGTATAGACCATTGGGATTATTGAATATGATGTTCTAGATTATTCATTAGTGATCCCAAATGTAATTGGTTTAGAGTAATCCAGCATCTAAAGTATGAATTCCACATATGAAGCTGGGATGTGGGAGCAAGTCTCCTAGGAAGTGAGTGAGTATCACCACCAATTCAGTGCCCTTCCATCTCTGTTTATAGGCCTCTCTGCTTGTAAAATGTTGACCATCTTTCTGCAAGAAGAAGGCTAGTTGCTACCTCCAGTGATGGATGTGTATGGAAAAGTTCTAAGAGTAAAAAAGAAATGGCTTTTGTACATGTCTTAAATATTTCAGAATAAATTAAAAAACAGAGAATAATAATTCATAGTCATATATATTTTTTGTTTAAGTTGCAAAAAACAAATTCCTTTTCAGTTAAACAGAAAAGGGATTTACTAAAGAATATCTAGATTCTCTAGAAGAGCCAAGGAATCAGGCTTAGAGGCCATGCATTCAGGAACAGTGCCTAAAGAAGACTACTGATTGCTCCAGCTGAAGCCACACTGCCATCATTACTCAACACAGATACCATAACTTCCATTGCTGATTCTGGTCAGTGGATGCCAGAATTTCTACCATGGTTGCACCCAAATGCTGGGTACCTATCCAACTATACTCACCAGAAGATGAATTTTAGGTGGTTTCTGCTTATGAATTCACAGTGTTCTCTTATGAATCCAAGTTGCATGGGGATGTTTCTTGTTGGTAGTCATAGTAAAATAGGTACCTGGTGTCTAGGAAAGTAAGTTTCTGGCTTCTACTTTGTGGAAGTGTGACAAAAAAGCTTGAGATTGCTCAAGATGTTCAAAAGATTTGGGGTGGCCCCAAAAAGTGACAAAGATCTACTGCACAAGAACTGATAAGAGTGAGATGTTAAACTGGAGGTAATGCAGCACCTAAAATGGTAGAAATTTCATACTATATTATTTGCAGTTGTGGGATTTAACAAGGGTCTGCATGAATGTCAAATGTGTTCGGTACTATGACATAAAACCTGAACAATTTGCAAAAAGTACAAGAAAAATTGTCACTGGAATAATGATATTGACAAGGAATTTTTAAAAATATATATATTAATCTCTACATTATATATACACACATATATATACATACACACACACACACACACACACACACACACACACACACGTATATTATGTCTACACCAAGGTGGGGCTCCAACTCACAACCTGATATCAAGAGTCTCATGCTCTTCTGACTGAGCCACCCAGGCACCCTTCCCGAGATTGCTTTTTTTTTTTTTTTTTTTTT